AAATAAATCTTTAAAAAAAAAAAAAAGGAAAGAAAGAAATAGGACACTTTGATGTTGACCTTCCACAAACTTTTCCCGAGAAGCAACTCCTTTGAGATGTGCTTTATGCTGTTTTTGTGAGGTAAACTAATGACTACCTTATTTATTAACCATTTCTACTCTTCATAATAGTATTATTCATCTGATTTATTGACACTTTAATAGATTTTTAAAATTTATGTTTTTTCATTTTACATGAAAGAGAGTCAGGGAAAGAGAACTTTTCTATCCACTGGGTCACTCCCCAAATGTTTGCAACAGTCAGCACTGAGCCAGGCTGAAACCAGGAGCCTGGAACTCTGTTCAGGTTTCCCATATGGGTATAAAGGACCCAAGTATTTAAGCAATCATCTGCTGCCTCTTAGGATGTGCATTGGAAGTTGAATTGGAAGCAGAATACCCAGAACTTGAACCATTCACCACTGTATGAAGTGTTTGGTTGTAGTGAAATTCTGTTGACCTTCTACACTAAGCCTAATATGACTTTTCTCTCCTTGCCTCACCTCTCTCCTGCACTCCCCTCCCCTCCCCTCTCCTCTATTTTCTCCTCTTTAACTCACTCACTTCCCTCCTCCCTCCCTCCCTCCCTCCCTCCCTTCCTTCCGTCCATCCATCCATCTTTCTAAGACAGCAATAATTGACTCCCTAAATGCCTGGAGCCAGAAACTTCATCTGGGTCTACCAAGTAGGTAGCAAGAACTCAAGTTCTAGGACCATCATTGCTGCCTCCCAGGGTCAGCTGAATCAGGAGCTGGAGCCAGATATTGAACCTGCAAACTCTGATGCGGGAGGCCAGCCTCCTAATTTGTAGGCTAACTCTGCCCCTGACTGTCCATTTTCAGATGTAAAATCTCTCTAAGGGCCACTGAAAATTAACCAAATAATAACAAATTTAGCTATTCTGCATTTAAAAAATATACATTAGTAAATTTTGTGTTTGGCATTCAGCAGTACATAATATGTTGTTCTTCAGTCTTTGAATCAGTAGGAATGAAAAAGAAATTACCAATTGCAAATTCTTTGGTGGCTTCTGATCAGGGGAAATGTTTATACAGTTGTCAGGCAGTCTTTTTAAAAAAAAAAAAAATTATTTATTTATTTGAAAGAGTTACACAGAGAGAGAAGGAGAGGCAGAGAGAGAGAAAGAGGTCTTCCATCCGCTGGTTCACTCCCCAATTGGCCACAATGGCCGGAACTGTGCCGATCCGAAGCCAGGATCTTCCTCCTGGTCTCACGCAGGTGCAAGGGCCCAAGAACTTGTGCCATCTTCTACTGCTTTCCGAGGCCATAGCAGAGAGCTGGATCAGAAGTGGAGCAGCCAGGACTCGAACCAGTGCCCATATGGGATGCAGGCACTGCAGGTGGCAGCTTTACCTGCTACGCCAAAGCGCCAATCCCACAGGCAGTCTTTTTAAAAATTAAATATGGCAGAGAGTTGTGAACATGTAGTATGAATAGCTTTTTATTGTTGTTATTGTTATATGATTGAACTTAAAATTTCAGTTAATATTTCACCTAAAAATAGCTACTTTGTGTTACAGCTTTCATATTTACTGTGTCATAGTAGCATTTTTTGCTTAATTATTTATGCTTCATATTTATAAGGAAAAATATTAACAAGGAATTTGCCCTTGCCCCACCTCTTTCAGCTACTTCTTACAACTCACTTTCCCTTTAAAGTGAATGAAAAAGTGTTGCAGGTTTTGACCAACATCTTTTTGTATCATGATTTCTCAATTCAAAACTTTATAAAAGGACTTCAGGTAAGAAGATACTAGTGGGTTTAAAAATCTACAACTAATTCTAAGTAACTTGTATGTTTTTTCAGTCTGTGTATTGCAATAATTAAGGCATTTTAAGTGCCTTAAATTTCACAATGTAGAATGTGAAAATTCAAGTTATTTTATTCTAGATTCTGCTGTTCCTTTGTTACCCTATAGTAAAATATAGGGAATAATTAGGATATCAGTGATGGAAAAGACCTCTTACCATTCTAGTAATTCTTGGCTATTGAGAATCTGATGAAAGTTTATGCACTTTACCCATGAAATACCATATCTAAGGGGTCAACATACTTATGTAATGTGCCGAACAGTAAATCTTCTCAGCTTTTCCTGCTTGCTTTGGTCATTACTGTTGCTACCACTTTCATAACCATTTAAAGATGTTAAAAAAAAAACACATTTTTAGTTCCTGAGCCATACAAAAGTAGATTGTAGAATGTAGTTTTATGTCCCCTAAACATGTATGTGTATGTGTGTGTGAGTGTGTAGTCATATGTATTCATTTGTATTTATTCTTATATATGGGGAATGTATGTTCACCAGGGTTTCACAAATTGCCAGAAGCTAATTCTTGAATTTGGCTTTATAACGTCTTCTCATTCTTAACAAAGAACCCATTCTCCAGTTGGTCAAAGGTTAAAATTACTGCCCTTTCTTGACCACTACCTAAGTTATCTTAGCAAAACATAGACCTTGTGAACACATACCATTTGTCAAGTTCATTTATCAAGTTCATGGCAGATATTAGTAACCTTCAGTGCCAGAATACAATATGCTATTATGTTTGTGTAGTGCCTTGAAGGTTTTAAATTATTTCTCACATATATTCTTCCTCTACATAAAAAAACTGCACTGGTTTTTATGGGTAATCTGTATCCTTATTTTTTTTTCCACATTGACTTTTTTTTTACAACCTGCAAATATATTTTATTTATTTTGTATGCATTTGGCTTAGATGGGTTTTATTTTTGTTAATTTATTATTCTTAAAAAAAATTTTATTTATGTAAAGGGAACAAATTTCATGTATTTCATATATACAGTTTTAGAAGCATAATATCTCCCACTCTACCCTCCATCCCTAGCATTGACTTTTTAAAAAGAGTGTTTTTTTGTTTTTTTGTTTTTAATTTATTTGAAAGACAGTTGACAGAAAGAAGGGGAGAGACAGAGAAAGAAAAGTCTTCTGTTTGCTGGTTTACTCCCTAAATGGCTGCAGTGGCTAGACCTGAGCCAGGCCAAAGCCAGGAGCCTAGAACTCCATCCAGGTGTCCCACATGGGTACAGGACCTAAGCACTTGATCCATCTTCTGCTGATTTCCCAGGCGTTTGATTAGGGAGCTGGATCAGATGTGGAGCAGCAGGCACTTGAACCAGTGCCTATAGGGAATGTGTGACAGGTGGGCAGCTTAACCTGCTTCACAATGGTGCCAGCCCCTAAAGAATATTTTAAAGGAAGAAAACATTTACCTTAGCAGTTTATGAAATTAATGATTTAGATATAGTTAATAACCTTCTAAATTACTTCTTTCATTCATTCATTCACTCACTGATGAAAATTTATTGAGAGCCTACTATAAGCCCAGCATTATGCTGACCCTTGGAGGCAGAAGGAAAATAAGTCTTTGCCTTCAATGTGCACATTGTTCAGTGAGCGAATTAGAAGAGTAAACCAATCCACAGAGTAGTCAGTTTTGTAAAAGAAGCATTCCAAGGTATTGCACAGGATGGAATTGTATCCCAAATTATAGGAACTAGCTCAGCCAATAGCAGAACATTCCAGGGAAAGACAAAAAGTAGAGGAAAGGAAATCTGTGAAAAGAATCAGCGTGATAGTGGAACTGGAAAACAGAAAACAAATTTGAGGATGAGACAGAATTAACAGATCCTGACCAATAAGGAAATAAGATGTGTAAGATAGGAGCAAGGTGACACACAGGCTTTAGATTGGCAAATGGATTGGACATTGGTACTTGACATGAGCAGTTACAGTCTAATTTGTACTTGTTTATAAATTTGGCAGGCCCCTTTGCCTTACAGCCTTCGCAAATGGACTATTTGGGCCATTTCCTGTCATCTTGGATATCTTGTTCTCAGCTCTATAAGCTCAGCAATTCATTATCAGTTCACCTAAGACAGATAAAGCTCACCATTACTGATTCATGGTGAGCTAATATTTTAAGATTGTTACATAACCTAAAGTATTAATTCATTAGTTTGTGGTGGGAAATGCTGTTTTCCAGTGTTAGAATGTATTTTCTCCACTAAGGAACTGCCTTTCTGGTTTCAAGATTATCTGGAAAAACAAAACTTTCTTGAGAAAATTGCTTAGAACTAGGATAAGGAACATTTGGGTAGTTTGGTGATCTATATCTTGCATGTTAAAATTTGGAAAATCATTCCTCTCCCATTGTGGAGACCACGGCATTCCATTATTGGAATACTTATATCTACCAGATAACTGTACCAAGTTTTCTTCCATGAAATAAAACCAAATGTAAAAAGTTAAATTGGGGCCAACACTGTAGCATACTGAGGTAAGCCACCACCTATGATGTTATCATCCCATATGGGTGCCAGTCGAGTTCTGTCTGCTCCACTTCCGATCTGGCTTCCTGTTAATGCACCTGGGGAAAGCGGTGGAGGAGAGCCCAAGTGCTTGGACCCCTGCCCCCATGTGAGAGACCCAGATGAAGCTGCAGGATCCTGGCTTTGTCCTGGCCCAGCCCTGGCTATTGCAGCCATTTGAGGAGTAAACCATCAGATGGAAGATCTCTCTGTGTCTGTAACTCTGCCTTCCAAATAAATAAATAATCTTTAAAAAATAGAAAAATGAAGAAAGAAAAGCTACATTTTCATTATTCTTTGCTATCAGATGCCATAGCTTCTACCATTGTAGCATTTTTCTTTTTAAAGACTTATTTATCCACCTCAAAGGCAGAGTTACAGAGAGGAAACAAGAGACAGAGATAGAGATCTTCCATCTTCTGATTCACTCCAAAATGGCCTCATCAGCCAGAGCTGGGCCGGACTCAAGCCAGGAGCCAGGAACTTCCTCCAGGTCTTCCACATGGCTATAGGGATCCAAGGACCTGGGCCATTTTTAGCTACTTTCCTAAGCACACCAGCCAGGAGCTGGATTGGAAGTAGAACAGCCAGGACTCCAATCTGTACCCATGTGGGATGCCAGCCCCTTTATTTATTACAACTGACCAGTTTTTTTTTGCACTGATTTTATTTTATTTTATTTATTTAAAGATTTATTTATTGATTTGAAAGGCAGAGAGAAAAAGAGTTGTCCTCCATCTGCTGGTTCACTCACCAGATGGCTGCAGTTGTAGGATTGGTCCAGGCCAAAGCCAGGAGCTTAGAGCTCCATCTGAGTCTCCCACAAGGGTTGTAGGGGCCCAAGTATTTGGGCCGTTGTCTGCTGCTTTCCCAAGCTTATCAGTAGGGAGGTGGATTGGAAATAGAGCTGCTAGTGCTCCAATATGGGATGCCAGTGTTGCAGGCAGCAGCTTAGCTCACTGAGCCCAACACTGGCCCCTGTTTCGCTGATTTTAGGTTGCTGGCTTCCTAAATACTTAGGACCTAGATACTTAGGTCTCATCCCATTCCCATCCATACCACATTTATAACTATTATGAGTTGCTTCTGCAGATGATAATCTATCCATGTATATTAGTTTTGTTTAGTTTGTATTTCAGAGATTACCATTTTGTGAACTTGTCCACATAATACAGCCTTAAACTATTGGAGGTATAAATCCCATTTATGTGTTGTTGGCAGTGTTATTGTGACATTATTAAATATATTAACACCATAATCTTTTTGCTCTTTAGAAAATGAACTTAAAATTGAGCAGACATAAAGCAAAAGATTTACTGCCAAAATATAATAAATATATTTAATCTTCACATTTCTTTCAGCTTTCTCTATTAGAGCATTTTTATTCCCAGCCCCTAAGTGTTCTGTGCTGTAATCTCCCAGAAGCCAAGAGAAGGATAAATTTTTTATCAGCTAATCAATGTGAAAACATTCGACGTCTCCCATCATTTCGGAGGTAAAAGGAAAAATACATATTTAACATATCTTGTATAGAGTTTATAGCAAATTAAGGGATCACATCCAATTATTTTTGAGGTTGGAAAAGGAATAATAGACTTTTAATTTTATTTACAGCAATACTAAACTATTCCATCATTAATTGTGGGATTTCCTTGATGGATTTGAAAATTTGGCATAAAATATATTTTTATAGAAGGCCATAATTTGGGGGTTCTCCAGACTTACTTTTTAGGCACGATCCGGCACGTTTAGGGTGGTTTGGCTATAGGCCAGACTTACTTTTTAGAAATAACATTTCCTATTTCTGGGAGGTATGGTCTTCATAATTAGACCCAGGACTATAAGTACCGCTGATTTAAGAAGTTAAAAATTACTCTTAAACTATGACTGTCACCTTGAATTTATTTTTGAAAATGTGACCATCATTCTAGTAGTTATTTTTTCCATTATGCTATTCAAATATGTAGAATTTTTAACTTTGTCTTTTTGTGTATGGGATGGTAAAAATTTTAGGTATGTGGAAAAGCAAGCATCAGAAAAGCAAGTTGCACTGTTGACCAATGAAAGATTTTTGAAGGTAGGAATGTGAGTGTGAGTGTGTTTGTTTCAGTTTCGTTCTCTTGTTTTTCCCTTCAGGAAAAAGAATATGCATATAACATGTATTGAGTCAATTTTATAAAACATATCTATACATTCTAATATTTATACAATGAAGAACTATGTCTTGATTATCAGTTCAGAATATGAATATTAAAATCATAACATCTCAACTGTAAAAGAGAGATTTTTTTTTTAATCAATTAAAATTATTAACTAGAACACTGGCTTGCTCCTGCAGTATGTTTTGAAAGCACTTTCAGATCTCTGAGATCTGCTCTATGGCTCTCTTTCCACTAACAATTTAGGAATCTGCTGGCAATCTCGTTTTAATGTTCTTTTAAAGGTTTCATAAATAAATACATGAAGAAAGCCAGGCACCCATTGCTAAGCAGATACAGATTTGACTTGAAGATACATATCATTATATATTGATAATGTAATACCTAGAAAGAAGTAATGAGGTTAAAAAATTATCAATCATACAACATAGCAAATATCAAAAGAAGGGTTTTTTCTTTCTCAAGTAATAGTTGGACACAATGCATAATTAAAAAGACACAACAAGTATTTAGTCATAAGGTTTCCTTTCACCTCTGATTTCCAACTGCCTGTTTCCCCTTCTCTGAATACAAGTGTTATTAGTTTCTTCTGTATCATCTCTAGAGATCATATCCATATATACAAGTGATTATATATATTTGAAGGTTCTAACCTTCTTACAAAAGATCAGTGTATTGTACACACGATTCTGTACTTTGTTCATTATCAGTAAAATAAAAAGTGGCATAATTGTTGCGTTGTATGAATATACGAGTACCTAAATTTTCCTTAATAAGACTTATTGGTGCACATTTAGAAATATGTAGTTTCCTTTATTTTCATACTCCTTGTGTCTTTTAAAGGAAAAAGTTGTTAGAAAATTTTAATGAAATTTAGATGAGCTTGAAGGTAAGCCCGTGTATTTTGGTAATAAATACTATTTTCAAATTTTGAACAACAGAATGCTAGATCTTCGAAGTCATGTGCTCTGTATAGTTCTCAATACTAATTTACTTCCTTTGTGAGGTCTCAAAAATTATTGCTAATGGGTTTTATGAAACATTATATCCATTGTAGAATCCATTCTGTGCCGTAATATAAAACCACTTCTAAGCTGGGTTCACTAATTATTTTAATAATCTTCATAACCTTTTCAGACCGGTATAGAAAGTCCTCAGTCCCCAATGCAGGCTATTTCCTTCTTTTTTTTTTTTTTTAACTTTTATTTAATGAATATAAATTTCCAAAGTGCAGCTTACGGATTACAATGGCTTCCCCCCATAACTTCCCTCCAACCCGCAACCCGCCCCTTTCCCGCTCCCTCTCCCCTTCCATTCACATCAAGATTCATGTTCAATTCTCTTAATATACAGAAGATCAGTTTAGCATATATTAAGTAAAGATTTCATCAGTTTGCACCCACACAGAAACACAAAGTGAAAAATACTGTTTGAGTACTAGTTATAGCATTAAATCACAATGTACAGCACATTAAGAACAGAGATCCTACATGAGGAGTAAGTGCACAGTGACTCCTATTGTTGACTTAACAAATTGACACTCTTGTTTATGGCATCAGTAATCTCCCTAGGCTCTTGTCATGAGTTGCCAAGGCTATGGAAGCCTTTTGAGTTCACTGACTCTGATCATATTTAGACAAGGTCGTAGTCAGAGTGGAAGTTCTCTCCTCCCTTCAGAGAAAGGTACCTCCTTCTTTGATGACCCATTCTTTCCACTGGGATCTCACTCGCGGAGATCTTTCATTTAGGGTTTTCTTTCTTCCTTTCTTCCTTTCTTCCTTTCTTTCTTCCTTTCTTTTTTCCTTCCTTTCTTCCTTCCTTTCTTCCTTCCTTTCTTCCTTCCTTTCTTCCTTCCTTCCTTCCTTCCTTCCTTCCTTTCTTTCTTTCTTTCTTTGCCAGAGTGTCTTGGCTTTCCATGCCTGAAATACTCTCATGGTCTTTTCAGCCAGATCCGCATGCCTTAAGGGCTGATTTTGAGGCCAGAGTGCTGTTTAGGACATCTGCCATTCTATGAGTCTGCTGTGTATCTCGCTTCCCATGTTGGATCATTCTCTCCCTTTTTTATTCTATCAGTATTTGCAGACACTAGTCTTGTTTATGTGATCCCTTTGGCTCTTAGTCCTATCATTATGATCAATTGTGAACAGAAGTTGATCACTTGGACTAGTGAGATGGCATTGGTACATGCCACCTTTATGGGATTGAGTTGGAATCCACTGGTATGTTTCTAACTCTACCATTTGGGGCAAGTCAGCTTGAGCATGTCCCAAATTGCACATCTCTCCCCTCTCTTATTCCCACTCTTATATTTAACAGTGATCACTTTTCAGTTAAGTTTCAACACTTAAGAATAACTGTGTATTGATTACAGTATTCAACCAAAAGTATTAAGTAGAACAAACAAAAAAAAATACTAAGAGGGATAAGGTATTAAGTTGTTCATCAACAGTCAGGGCAAGGGCTGATCAAGTTACTGTTTCTCATAGTGTTCATTTCACTTTATCAGGTTTCCTTTTTGGTGCTCGGTTAGTTGTCACAGATCAGGGAGAACATACGATATTTGTCCTTTTGGGACTGGCTTATTTCACTCAGCATAATGTTTTCCAAATTCCTAACAGGGATCACTTTTCAGTTAAAATTTAAACACCTAAGAATAATTGTGTGTTAATTACAGAGTTCAACCAATAGTACTAGAACAAAAAAAATACTAAAAGGGATAAAGTATTACATCGTACATCAACAGTCAGGACAAGAGCTGATCAAGTCACTGTTTCTCATAGTGTCCATGTCACTTCAACAGGTTTCCCCTTTGGTGCTCAGTTAGTTGTCGCCGATCAGGGAGAACATATGATATTTGTCCCTTTGGGACTGGCTTAGTTCACTCAGCACGATGTTTTCCAGATTCCTCCATCTTGTTGCAAATGACTGGATTTCGTTGTTTCTTACTGCTGTATAGTATTCTATAGAGTACATGTCCCATAATTTCTTTATCCAGCCTACTGTTGATGGGCATTTGGGTTGGTTCCAGGTCTTAGCTATTGTGAATTGAGCTGCAATAAACATTAATGTGCAGACAGCTTTTTTGTTTGCCAATTTCATTTCCTTTGGGTAAATTCCAAGGAGTGAGTAGGCTGGGTTGTTTGGTAGGGTTATATTCAGGTTTCTGAGGAATCTCCAGACTGATTCCATAGTAGCTTAACCAGTTTGCATTCCCACCAACAGTGGGTTAGTGTCCCTTTTTCCCCACATCCTCGCCAGCATCTGTTGTTGGTAGATTTCTGAATGTGAGCCATTCTAACCGGGGTGAGGTGAAACCTCATTGTGGTTTTGATTTGTATTTCCCTGATTGCTAGTGATCTTGAACATTTTTTCATGTGTCTGTTGGCCATTTGGATTTCCTCTTTTGAAAAATGTCTATTGAGGTCCTCGGCCCATCCCTTAAGTGGGTTGTTTTGATGTTGTGGAGTTTCTTGATTTCTTTGTATATTCTGGTTATCAACCCTTTATCTGTTGCATACTTTGCAAATATTTTTTTCCATTCTGTCGGTTGCCTCTTCACTTTCCTGACTGTTTCTTTTGAAGCACAGAAACTTCTCAATTTGAGGCAATCCCAAATGTTAATTTTGGCTTTGACTGCCTGTGCCATCTTTTGCAGGGCTGGACGAGTGGCGACAAATTCTCTCAATTTCTGTTTGCTGTGAAAGGCCTTTATTTCACCTTCATTCACAAATGAGAGCTTTGCAGGATATAATATTCTGGGCTGGCAGTTTTTCTCTCTTAGTACTTGGGCTATGCTTCACCATTCCCTCCTAGCTTGTAGGGTTTCTGATAAGAAGTCTGCTGTGAGTCTAATTGGAGATCTTCTGAGAGTAATCTGACGTTTCTCTCTTGCACATTTTAGAATCTTTTCTTTTTGTTTCACTGTGGTGAGTTTGATTACAATGTGTTGTGGTGAGGATCTCTTTTGGTCATATTTACTAGGGGTTCTATGAACTAGGATGTCTGTCCTTCTCCAAACCCGGGAAGTTCTCTGCAAGTATCTCACTAAAAAGGACTTCTAATCCTTTCTCTCTCTCCATGCCTTCAGGAACTCCTAGAACCTGAATGTTGGGTTTTTTAATAGTACCCTGTAGATTTCCAACAATATTTTTTAGATTCCTAATTTCCTCTTCTTTTTTTTTTTTGGTTTGACTGTATACTTTCCTGTGCTCTGTCTTCTAACTCTGATATTCTCTCTTTTGTTTCACTGACTGTTTTTAAGGCTCTCTAATGTGTTTGTCATTTGATCTATTGAGTTCTTCATTTCATTTTGATTTCTCTTCACTATCACACTTTCTTGTTCTGCTAGTTTCTTCATTTCATTTTGATTCCTCCTTAAGATTTCATTTTCATGAGAGAGATTTTCTGTCCTGTCCTGTATGGATTTCTGTAGTTCATGTATTTGTTTTTGATAACTTCTAAATGTTCTTATCATAAATTTTTAAAATTCTGTATCTTGCATTTCTTCCATCTCATCATCTTCATAATCTTGGCTTGGGGTGTCTTGTTCATTTGGGGGCGTGATAATGTCTTCCTTGTTCTTGTTTCCTCAGTTTCTGCGTTTGTTGCTTGGCATTGTGGAGATATTCTTTGGATTCTTCTTCCCTCGCTGTGGTGTTTTTTTCTTGTTATACTATGACTGTATTAAGTAGACTGTCTGCTTTTGATGGAGCCTTAGAGGCTTGAGATGGGCTGGCCTGAGAGCTCTGTTTGGTTCTTCAGGGTTAAGGGTGTGCCAAAGTTGACACTCTCAGGTTAGGCGTGGTAAATGGTAAATCTCTCTCTCTCTCTCTGTCTCTTTCTTTCTTTCTTTCTTTTTCTTTTCTTTTCTTTTTTTTTTGTTTTGTTTTGTTTTGTTTCGGAAGGGAAGTAATTCCAC